GCGCGTAAAAAAGATCCCTCGCAACTTACTTCTTCTCAAAGTTTGTGCCTATAAAACTAAGAAAATTTTATGAACTGAAATACTTGAAGCATATTTCTGTCAATGAAGGTCATAAAAAAAGTTTCAACAGGTCATCTTAACTTAGCCCTATACGATGATTTTTCTAGAGAACTCTCAAAATAAATATCCAAGTCCGAATGCCCAGATTTCTCATGAATGTTCCTTATTGTTTATTTGATTGATAAGATAACGGCAAATATGGCGTGTATGCGTTATTGTAAATATACAAATTAGTTATTTAGTCTATGAGTTCTGGAAAACGACTATAGTCAGGTGGATTTTCATAGAATAGTGTACTTGCACTAGCAATCTCATTTGCGCGTAAAAAATAGCCGTGGAGCGCGTAACTTGCATGTGGTGGCTTAAATCCTTTAGAGCAACCCACCGCCTAATATAAATTAAACAAAACTTTGCGAATTCACATACTTTACGCAAATTCACTCCGTATCCACTTTTTACGCCCAAGTGAGGTAGTAGTGCAAGTGCACTATACTCGCGCCAAAGTCTACAAGACTATATATATCTAATGGGCTATTATTTCGCACCAGCTTTTGATGATAGATCTGCTATGCGAATTCCACTATCCCGCAATTTGAAACGCAGCCGAGCGGCGGCGCAAGAAGAAGTGCTAGACGGCGATGATTTTGCCCATATATCCCTTATGGTCGGTGGTGCCGCTTAGGAATCCGTGAATGACGAGCGCCGTCGAGGGGCAAGAGAGGGGCACTTGGTTTGAGAACACACAGAACGCAGCTGCGAATTTCGAAGAAGAGACACATTGAGCGCTGAACCACCACCTCTCACCCACTCCATCATCAGCCGAATCATTTCGAGCGCTGTTTCATCCCCGCCGCCGCCAACGGATGCTTGCTTTTCGGGGTGTCAAAATTCAATATTCTTTTGATGCTTCTGTAGCGCGAAAATCAAGATGATTCAGCAACTGACGGGGGGGGGGGGGTGGCAGGGTAATGGAATGGTATGTGTGTCTTCTGTGTGTTTGACGAGCCACTGCACCATTTCGCTTCATTGCTTTTATGAGTCGCCTCGCTTCGCGCTTCACATGCAAATGTTCCCCGTCGCCGTCCCCACCGCCGCCGTCGACGTCGTTCACCTCCACCTCCTCCACCTCGGCTGCTGATGTGTTGAAATTGCTCGTTGCTTAACTGAATTCTCTTCTCCCGGACTAGTTCCGTCTGCCTTTGCCTTGACTTGACGCGCCCGTGCTGCCCAAGCCTCTAAACCTCCCCCCCCCCCCTCCCCCCGTTCTCGATGACTGGACCTGACTGACGTACGGACCGGACGGAACGTTCGGTCCGGTAGTCGTGTCTCTGTAATTCTCTGCACTGTTTTCCAATAGTCTTAGAGGTGCCGAATCGCCGCTTCGCTGCAAGCGCTGCGAGTTCCCCCCTCCCCCCCCCTCCCCCCATTCCCCGCTTGTCCTTCGAATATCGAGCCTCCCCCCCCGCGTCCTTACTATGTAGCATCTCTACAGTTTCAAATCGTTTATCATAAGCTACGATCTCGCGTTTTGGTCGTGACAGCGAAAAGTTGCGTTGGTTGTTTACGCCCCCCCCCCCTTCCCCCTCTTACGCCCCCTATGCTTCTTTCCATTGCTCATTGGTTTTCTTCCGCTTAGACTTTCGTTTCGTTCTAGTTAGTTCTTTCATGCGACTCTTAATTGCATTACAGCTTCGAAGCTAGTTTTCGATTCTTTATGACTTTATCTTGACGTCAATAATTTTATTAGCTGTCATATAAAAAATGGGATGGGAAGTAAGTACAATAGACTTGGTGACCTTCTTTTCAGTCCGTTGGTTCTTGTCACAATTTTTATTTCTGCTCTAAAAATTTTGAATGAGCTGTTTCGCATTCCAAGAACGTCGCAAATGTGGGATTGTTGCAAGTGTCTGGAATTTCTGAAACCAAAAACAAAAATTAAAAAGTCTAATTTGCGATTTTATTACTCGGTATCAGTCTGTTTTCCAAACTTTTTGAAAGTCATTCGTCGTTCTTCCAAACTTACAAAGATACAATGGGGCGTGATTATTTATATTATTCCAGATAATATCTATGAAAATTGATGAGCTGGGCATAAATTTTGTTTTTGAAAAAATGCTCAACATCATGCTATAACTTTTCTTAATAGGTTGAATAGATATGAAAAAAATTGTATAGAATCGTTTTTGCCACATTATCTTGAATTTTAAGGTGTATGGAAGTTACCAAAACATGTAATGAAGGTATAACATATTTTCTTTTCTTTTAGAATGTACTTTTTGTTAGTTTATGAATTTTTGTCCAAAAAGTCGAATTATCTTAAGAATTCTTTAGTTTGCATTGACAGTTCCATTAAGTATTGAATTTCTTTTCTGGTTGCTTTGAGACCTGGCAAATGTCCAAATTTGCCCAATCTTTGACCAAAAATTTGACATCCCAAACATGTCGCAATCATCTCATCCTCCACACCCAATCCAATCCACCCACTACATGGCTTGTTCATATTTGCTTTTATCTGCTCGTCACCCGATCCTGGCCTCCGCACCTTACCCCGCTTACCAACAGCGTCCCCAAATTTTCTGCCACCATCGCTACATCATTCACTTCCAGTTTTTGTTCTGGATGTCACCAGCTGCTTACAGTCATTACTGTCCGAAGACAGAACTCGCTCATTACAGTTTCCTCGAATTACTGTAGCTGCTTCTTCTCATGGCTTTTCATTTTCCCCAGCCATTTTCCACATCATCCTGATAATTATGCTAGTTTGGAGGCTTCGTTCCACTATGTGGTCAACGAGTCATGGCTTGCTTTTTGCCTCTCTTGCATAACCAGTACTTTCGACTAATGGCTCGCTCTTGCTATGACGCTGTCGGAGATGTGTAGAATTGCGTCGACGACGACAATCTGTTTGAAAGTAAACATTATCAGCGACTGTCCAGCAAGTGGGGAGTAAACATCGTGAAAGCTTAAACTCAAACCTCACTTCACTTCACGATTTATAGGTTGAGTGGGATCCTTGGGTCCGGGGGAGTAGATTTATAAAGGTGGACCCTTATAAATATAACAGCCTCTCCATAAAAGGAAGAAACCCAGTGGTTCTCAATTCAAATGAAGTTAATTTGAGTTTTCTTCGAAATCTTATAGCTCTGTAAACATTTTTCTAGAGTGATATGCTATAATTTGTCTCAGCCTACTTCCTCCCTTTTTCCATTTCTTTATGAACGCATGTTGTTTCAAAGGTGAATTCTATTGAATAAGACCAGGTATCCACCTGTCCTTCCCCCCCTCTCCCGTTCTTTTAGTGTCTTTGTGGAACACATATTTTGATTTTTTTTTTGAATGGATCCTACAGAAGTCAGGCTCCACCTACCTCCCCCCCCCCCCTCCCAACTTGCTCTCCTTTTCATGACTTCTATCACATGCATCTTCATAATTTCCAACGCGTCTCCGAACATCTAGTCTTTTAACCCCCCCCCCCCTCCCCATTCATGCTTATCTCAGGGACTCGCACCGTGCGGGCGGCCAGCGACGAACTTACAATCGCTCGTTGGTGTGTGCGATTGTACGGTCGTCAAGGGCCGTTAGCACGGTTAACGTGGGGCGCCCGCACGGTTTCTAATGCTCGCCGCTTGCGCGGGGAAGGTCGGCCGCTCGCTTGCTGCTGGAGTAGGTCTATATGGGGTATTTTAACCACTTTTCTTAGATATGTTAAGCATTTTCACATCCTGGGAACACGGACCAATGCCTGCCGCACTACCCAAACTTTCCATGGAGAGGCCCACACCATCACTCTTGATAACTGTAGCCTCACACAGGTTCATCCCAGCTTTGCGTTGAAGGGAAATGTTGATAACACGATAGTCGACGCTTAGCCAGCCTAAACGCTGCGTCGTATCTCATGCAGGTACCGTTTACGCTCATAGTGTGTGAAAATAATGAGCCGAAGGTAGAGGTCACTGTTGGCCGCTTGCACGGGCAAATGTTTGCCGCCCGATCGAACGGACACATTGCCTGCCGCTTGCACGGTAGATTTTATTGCGTACCGATTGCGCGGCGAGATTGCCTGCCGCTTGTACGATCAAGTGATTGCTGGCCGATCGTGCGGACGCATTGCCTGCCGCTTGCACGGTCGATTTTATTGCGTGCCGATCGAACGGGTAGACTGTCTTCCGCTTGCACGGCATTTTTATTGTTGACCGCACGCACGGTACATCAAAAACTATGCAGTGCGCTCAGGCGGAGGAGCTTTAATGAGGACCGCCCGCACGGCGCGAATCCCTGAGATATTCCTCTCTCTAAAGATGTCTATATATGCAAAATAACAAGTGCTTAAGTAGATGACGCAAAAAAGCGAAAAAATTCCATTGTTTACATTACTATAGGATTCGCATATGCGCTGGAAACTTTAAAAACCTGTCTAATTTCCTCTCTAATTTGTAGAATATGCAAATTTTCCTCCTTTCTCGATCTTACAGATAGTAGTCTTCTTTCTTTTTGAAGGAGGTTAAGTGGCCAGGAAGAATTCTTCTTACGAAAAAGTTTGGTTCTTGATTTTTAGCGAAATACGATTTTTCTAGCAATTTGAGTAGTTCTGATAGAAAAATTAGCTTGTACTGTTTTCTTTGAATCACCAATCGAAGATATCGATTACGTACATCTTGGGAAAATATGCTTTATTACTTTATTGGTTCTCAATAGCAGCAATAGTTTTGCTTTGCAAAGATGCCTTTCTGCCAATTTTACGAAATTTTTGACTCACTGCAAAAATTACGGATTACACTGCCTTTTTGTGCCACAGGTGTAACATCACACATTTTGTATTAATTTCTGCATTCCATTACATTCCAATTCACATTTGCAACGCGATCGACCTGAAAAGTAGCAATAAGAAGAAAAAACTTGCGCAGCTGATGCCCCACAAAGATTAATTGAGACCCTGGATGAGGTGTGTTTTTCACGAATTACGCTCGCTTTGTGTAATTTAGGCTCCATAGCCAAGAGTAGTCATCTCATCTCCTTACAGCCTAATAGACCACTTAAGCTTCCATTAGGCTTATCTCTTCGCCAAAACACACTAAGTTTGGATCGAATCGATGAGAGCTTGTTCGCGCGCGCGAGTGTGGCGCTGTGACGCAACCGGCCCAATACCGTATATGGAATCGCTTTCTATCGACTCCCCTGAGGGAGAACGGGGCGACGGGAGGGGGGGGGGGGTGGGAGGAAGGGACTGGTTGCCTCAAGACGTAATGCATACGGTTGAATAAACGACGTACAGATATGCGTGTGCGTGCGTCATCGTAGCTGAAGGTCATTTCGGTCCTGATCCTAAGCGTCACTTCGTTCGGGGCAGGGAGGGGGGGGGGGGGAGAAGGGGAGCAAATTTTTCTATAAGTTTGTTCACTATATTATGCGTTCTCAAAGTCTATAAACACATTTTTTTGATGCTCGATGAATCGTTCGGAATAATAAAAAAAACATTCAATCGTTCGGAATAATAAAGAAACGTTTAATAACGAAAACCCTGGAAATTCAAAATTATCTAAATTTGTTTCGCAAAAATCATGCTCTATGAAGGTAAAACAAAAAACTTGGCTCTCCACGTCCCTTTCTTTATTCTTTACATTGCTTTTGTACCAATATACAATTACCTATAAGTAGCAGAGCTTGCACTAGCCGGGACTCGAACCGTGGTCGTATCATTCTCAGCGGCGCCACTTACCACTGCGCCACTGCGAAAATTTTTGTAGGGATACACTGTATCAATTTATCGATTTCTATCGTATTTGTGTGTTCCATGCTTATAACACCATTTTCAAGCTACAATACATTGCAGCAAACCTTCTCCTTATTGGTTTTCCTTGCTCGTAGGTCAACTACACAATTTTTTTTCTAAAAATATCGCACCAATTTTGTTAAGTGTGGCTTTACTACTTATAAGGATTTTTCTCACTCAAACCCCTACTTATCCAGTATACTGTAACTGAATCGGATTAACACTTCATTATTTTGAGTGCTTTTATCCCCAGAGTGAGAACCGCTTTCGAGCCGTACGAAAACGGTACTCGCTCGTCAATACGCTTTTGCAAGTCAAGTGTTCTTTTCGCGCTCTACAAAGAGATGCGTTCTTTTGCTTTTAGATGTAACATTTACGGACTGTGTGGATTGCGCAAGACGAGTGTGCTGCTATCCATAGAGAGAGTCTACGAACGCTGCTGTCCAAAGCCGATTTCTATCCAGAGATTAGCAGTTTACACACCAAAAGTTTTGCTGACCTGATTCGATTTGCGCACCGTTCCCCTTTGGCTGTTTGTCGTTTCGGGTCTAGTTTTAGTACTATCTTGTAGGGCTTATGGGCTTATGCGTGTGATTCAATCAATCCATTTTGGGAATAATTGAGTTCAAGTGCGTAATGTATGCACCCAATTATTTTAAATTATCTATTTGTCTACTTATTTTTACACTCAAGGTGAACCAAAAATAGCAAGTAAGAACATTAGAACTCATGACGATATTTGAACTATTTGAAATCCAACAAGTTTATCTCAAAAAGCTCCACTATTCCGAACAATATATAACTCATATACATTCAGTTTTTGTTGAAATGAACTTATGTTACATTAAGTTTATTCACAAGAAGGTAGATAATTTTTTACTTTGAATGTTTTGAGGCGTTGCCCCTAATGATTCCGTTCCATCATTTTTCAAATCTTGCCGCAGTTTCCGACTTTCAGTTTCAAATATGGACTCTGGTTGTTCAAAAAATTTGAAATCCTACTGCAAGTAACAAATACCAAAATTGACATGAAAATAAAAATTTACCTAATCTGTAGATATGGAAAATTTACACAAAAACAACTACGAAAATTGTGCACAAGTTTGAAAATTTAGTATCTCTACTAATGAACCAGTAGTCTAAAGGTGCTACATATTTGCAAGGGCGTTCGCCACGGGACCGGCCACGATTCCCCGATATTGGAAGATTTTTGAATTGAGCTAAGATTCTTCCTATAAGAAAGATTTGTACCGTATTTCTAGCAAACTCTCATTTAACTCTGTATTTTTGATACAAAGTGTTGGAACGAAAATCGTGAATTGATTATTTTTGATCAAGCCCAAATCACAATTTTTACGTCTCCCCACTCTGGTCTCAGCTCCAAAAACAGCCCATTCATTTTTATTTGCATTCATGATGAATAATGCATTTGCGTATTATTTTACATCCTCATTAGGGCAATGCTAGTCCCCAAAGCTTGCGAATTGACTATTTGCTAGCCCTACCAGTACAAGTTATCCGTTGGCTAAGCTTTTTCATAGCCACTCGTAATTCTTTTCTTTTTCAGTCATCCTTTTTTCTTCCGTCGTTCAGATGTATCCGATAATGTCCCGCAACTTACCCTGTAACAACCGTCTCTGCCCGCGCGTGAGATAGGGATCCCGCGGCTCTGAACGGCAATCTACTATCACTCTTTGTTATGTAATGGATTGCATTAGACTAAGTGCACGATTGAGGCTATTCGTAGTAGTTGTAGAAGTTACGGTAACCGCGTAGTGGGTAAAGATTATATAAAAAGAAAACTTCGTTTAGAGTCAATGAATAAATCAAATCTGGTGGATTTTCGCGGTTCTTGTGAACAGTAAGTAATAATAACTTTCGGTATTTTCCGATTATTGTTGAAATTCTAGTTTTAAGGATGAGGACGTCATTATGTAGGCCCTCAGTTGATTCGAAGCTACAAAATAAAATCAGCGCTGAAAAATTGCGTATGTGCACAAAAGAAGGCTAAGATGACCAGAAATTAAGATTTGATGGTTGCTGGCAGTAACGGGGGGGGGGTGGTGACAAAAAGTGAATCCGAAAATTTTTTTGGGATCTTTGAATCTTTGCAAACCACGATTTTTCAAAAGCAAGCGTGACTACCAGAAGTATCCCGAGAATAGCAAATTAGCCTGGTACTCAGGGATATCACCGATATCCAGTGACGGCAGCCGCGTCCTCGAAAAAATTTTTTCAAAAAATCTGAATTCTTAAAAAGTTTTGAAAATTATCTTAATTATTTACAAGTATAAACAAATCACTTGCACAATTTTATAACACATATAAGTAAGTTTCAAAAATTTCGCGCCCCCTCCCTACTCCCCCCCCCTCGGACTGCCACTGCGGGTATCATATTTTCTTTGCCTCTCCTTGTGCACTTCTCTCCTGTAATTAAAAAAAAGCGTTCGGGCCCTGACTCTTTCATGGCAGCATTTTGATGCATTCAACCCCTGACTGGGTTCAATAATTTTTCATGAATTCTAATACTTTTCGAAGATTTTCTGGTTTATGAAATTCTGAAAAGTGCAATAGTCATAGTCTATTGATCTCTCTCTTTATCTCCACAACGGATATTTCGGCCTTTGCGTTTCGTGAGGTAGGTAGTTGACTGGAAGTTTGAATAGTTTGATAGGATTTACCTATCAGTCATTTTGTTTGATCTAGTCCTTACCGGATCTGATGTCAATATTGAAAAGTAGTTCCATCACAAAGCTCCCCGCTGCTGTTGGCCTGAATCCGTTCCAGCCACACGCTCAAGCCTGATTTCTTCTCCACAACATCCGTCGCGATTCCGCTTGACTTTTGACATCTGTGCTCGTCGACTCGACGTAATCTTCGCCATCCTAACGACATTAGCACATTCGCGCGTTGATTGCGCTCATAATGTCCTCGTTGAGGTCGTCATCGTCCGTCCGTCGAGTCGCGCGCGAGTCGGTAGATCTCTCTCGACCTCGGTGACGTATGATTTGGCACCCGTGGTTGTTTAGCACTGTGACAGCTGGATGACCGGTCGGATAAATTATGGACGGAGCCGGGGAAGGGGGGGGGGGTGACGGAGAAATGTTTGCTCACCCGCTTCAGCTCGTAGGTGAACGCGTAGTTTCCGCCACGGCTTGGGCTCTTCTCTGCGTAATACTTGTTGTTGCTTCAGTTACTAACGCAGTTGACTAAGTTTTTTTTGTGAATGTGTGCAATTGCACAATTTCCAGGACCATGAAGCCCAATGTTGTCCTTCTTGGCTTTTTTCTTTGTTTTTCTCACTGTTGTTTTCACTTACAAAGAAAAATAAGGAAGGTAAAGTAATGAAGTACGTCCCCGGCAACATCCTGTGAGTTGTGCAATTGCACAAACTGGTAGAAAATTCCTTTCAGCTTTCATCACTCGCTCTACCAAACCGAAAAGAATTACTTAGTTTTCTTTTACTTAAGTTTTTCCCGCTCTCTCTCCCTCCCCACCCCCTTCCCCCTTCTCCTCCTCGCTCACCCCTCCCCCCCCCCACTTCTTCGTCGCTTTTGCTTGTCTTGAAATTTGTTTTTCAGTTTCTGCAGCTAGAAGTAATTTCGATCCACCTTCCGAGTGTATATTTTTTGCGGATGCTAGCAGTCATAACATCCATCTCTCTGATTTCGTATAATCACATCATTTACAGCGCTAAAACGACTTGATTCATAACTGTCACCATCGTGAATCATTTATCTTTGCTCGGAATGAAATCATATGACTTTACGAGTTAAGCATGCTTTCAGTTTTTGCTTTTTCAATCGTTTTCGATCTTAAAGTAGACGCTATTTTTCAGCGCACTTTCTTGTTTCTTTGTAAAAATGAGGCCAATTTCGAGTCTTAGCAACCATGAATATATGCAGTGTATGTAAAGCGCGTTCTACCTCATCATGGTTAAGTTTGGATACATGGAGGGGGTGTTGAGGGGGGAGGATAGAGTTTTTTCTAAGACGAGGATACAGATATTAAAGTTCAAAAACGTTTTTAGTTGTTCAAACTGTAAAAATGAATTGTTTGCCAAACTTTGATTATAGGTTTTGATATGGACTCTCATTCCATAGATGTAGCGTTTATGCATGAGAATATTCATTTTCATTTCATTTTTCATTTCCATTTACATAGGAAACCCT